GAGAGAGAATGAATAAATTTACCTTTTCTCATAATGTGTGCCCTTCTGCATACCTGGAAAATGAATAAAGAGTTTATGGTTTAAAAAAAGGAAAGATAGCAATGATGTAGAATTAATATAACCAGGAGGTATTGATCAGTGGAACACAGAATGCTTTCAATCAATAACACACGGTGACAGACATACCTCCTCAGCTTGGTTACTAGCCAATTCAAAGAAAGTTCAGGGTCTTTCTAAATAACTTAGGATAAATTTTCATTTATTTAGGTCAGAACCATCCCTCCAGGAAGTCTGAAGGGAATCATCATCATCAGACAACGAGTTTAGGCAAACTTCCCATTTCAAGATCTGAAGCATTAGCCACCACTCTCCTGTCTGTGCTCTGTACTCACCTCCACTCCATTTTTTTTAACCTGCACAGCCAGGTAAGTTGTTCTAATTTACTTTTCAGATGCAGATCTTACAGCTGCTGTGAACTGTATGTATGAGAATCTCAACCCCTTGTTTTTAGCACCCTTTCCCTTTGAGCAAGGAGGGCAGGGATGGAAAAACTACTGCAATAAAGCCTGCACAAAGGGGTTCCATCTTCCAACTGGGTCTTTCATTTGTTTTTAAGAAACCTTATAAATGTGACAGATGCTGTATTTCTTTTGGCGGTGAAAAAAATATAGTGATGATACAGATAAAAATGTGTAAATGAAAAATCATAAAAACATCTAGATTTTGATGATGACTGAATCCTAAAGTCATTGAAAATTAACGTTTAAGACAATTTCAGGGCGTTTTTATTATAACCTTCTTCTATTGTGTTCCTAGTGAGTACACTCATTACTATTAAATTGTTAGAACTACTTTATTCATTATTAAAATTGCTGTTTATTTATAATGTGTACTCGATTGTGATTATATTAATAGTAATATTTAAAAAATAAAGGTTAGTACTTTCAACTGCAGGAGCTGGGCTCAGTTCTATTGCAGGACATCCTATTGTCCCATATATGAAACTGGCTGTAGAAAAAGGGTAAATGGAAGAACCTGTCCATTGCTGAGCAGCATTCTTTTGCCTCACGCTTCTGCATTTTAGACCAAATCATTTTAGAGAACGATTCATTTTAGAACTGAAAATTATACTCTCCATCTCTCCCTTATGTTTCATGACAATAACATCTCATTCATTCTCAGTCCACTAATCCTCAAACCCCAACTAGCCTTCTCAACTGATTTCTCAGCAGATTACTGAACTTCTTATACTATAAGAAATAAATAAATCTGAACAAGGACATTGATAACTTGATGCATTAAGCTAAACTACTACTACTAATATGATAATAATCATAATGTAATAATTATGTTTTCCCATAATGTCTATGAGCCCTAGTCATGGACCAGATACCCACTGTGCTAGGTGTTGGGCAAAATTAGAACAAAAAGATGACCCCTGCCTTCAGAGGTTTACAGTTCAAGTATAAACTCTTCCCCTCAATGCCCAGTTGCACATTTTCACCCCTTCCAGTCCCATTCCTCCTTCCCATCACTGATACTGTCCATGGCTGAGCCAGGGTTGCAGGGGCAGATTCTACAGTGGCCGTAACAGGGATGGTAGTAGCGTTCAGGTTCCTCCCGGCCTGGTCTCCCCAGGTGTTCTCTACCAGCCTGGGAGCAGGCTCGGAGAGGGGGAACATAGCTGCTGCCTCCACTGCTGCTGCTCTGGCTGAGCCTGGCTCCCCACACAGTCCAGATGCAATGGGATAAGAGCAGCTCTGGAGCTTCCCTGCCCCCGGGCCAGCCAGGAACAGTGGGGACAGCAGCAGTGGTGCGTTGGAGAGGGAGTGAAGGAGAGATGCTGCTGGGCATATAAAGGGAAAGAAGAGGGAGCAAGGGAGGGGAGACAATTCTTATGTGATTCAGCAGGGATGCAGCCAGCCTTGAAGTGTTGGTTGCTACTCCTGAACCCCCTTTACAGGTGGGAAGCAAAAGAATGCTGCTCAGACATGGACAGATTCTTCTTCTCCAGGTCCTTGTGGAAGATCCTCCCCGACACGTCCTGGCAGCTGTCCCCAGGGAGTAAGTCCATGGGTGACACAATATCTATTTTCCTCACCACCTCCTGTATCTTGCAGTGGTTCATTATTTCATAGATTTCTTAGACATTAGAGCTGGAAGGGACCTCACAAGATCATTGGGTCTGGCCTCACTGGACCCGATGGGGTCACTGGGCCTTTTCCCTGTAGTTTGTACTTGCTACAGAATTGCTCCAAGGTTCTGCAGAATCACAGCAGTTCCCAGGCTGCTAGACTCATGCATGGCAGTATGTGCACTCCCCAAGGTTGTAGCATGTGACTTGCAAAATACTTCATGAAGCAGGCTGTTTTAGACCTTGCCCTGGTTGTCAGCTTGAAGATCTGCCTTGTGTTTTGCCCAGAGGAATAGCAGGACATCTGGTATTCCTTGGCTCCCCCTGTCCGGTCTGTCTTGTACAAGGTTTTTCTTGCCACTTTCTCTCATTTGGAGCCCCAGAAGAAGATATGTATGGACCTCTGGATTCTGTGGATAATTTGCTCTGGCAGAGGCGGGGTGCCAAAGGAGAGGGGGAAGACCAGTGCAGTGTACAGAAGCAGCACTGCTATCAAGAGCATCATGTGCCCCCTCATTGACCGGCACCGTTTGCACCACAGTCCTAGTCTCTGTGACAGAGCTGGCTGATGCAATTGAAGAGCTGCTGGCTGTATCTTTGAAAAAACTTATGGCAATCAAGAAAGATCCTGAATGATTGGAAAAGGGAAAATCTAGTGCCCATCTTCAAGAAAGGGAAGGAGGAGGAACCAGGGAACTACAGACCAGTCAGCCCCACCTCAGTCCCTGGAAAAATCATGGGCCAGGTCCTCAAGGAATCCATTTCTAAGTACTTGGAAGAGAAGGTGATTAGGTACCATCAGCATAGATTCACCAAGGGCAAGTCAGGCCTGACCAACCTGATTGCCTTCTATGATGAGATGACTGGCTCTGTGGATGCGGGAAGAGCGGTAGACATGATATATCTTAACTTCAGCAAGGCTTTTGATACCGTCTCCCACAACATTTTTGCCAACAAGCTAAGGAAGTACAGGTTGGATGAATGGACTGTAAGGTAGATAGAAAACTGACCGGATCATTGGGCTGAGAGGGTAATAAAGCAATGGCTCAATGTCTACTTGGCAGCCAGTATCAAGTGTAGTGTCCCAGGGGTTGGTCCTGGGGCCAGTTTTGTTCAAGATCTTTATCAATGACCTGGAAGATGGAATGGAGTTCACCTTCAGCAAGTTGGCTGATGACACCAACCTTGGGGTGTAGTAAATGTCCTGGAGCATAGGGCTAAGATTCAGAGAGACCTAGACAAATTGGAGGATTGAACCAAAAAAAAGCTCATGAGATTCAATAAGGACAAGTGTATAAAGTCCTGCACTTAGGATGGAACAATTTTATGCACCAGTATAGGCTGGGGCCAATTGGCTAAGCAGCACCTCCGTAGAATAGGACCTGGCAGTTACAGTGGACAAAAAGGTAGATATGAGCCAAGAGTGTGCCCTTGTTGCAAAGAAGACTATGGCATGCTGGGCTGTTAGTAAGGGTGCTGCCAGCAGATTAAGTGATTCTTCTCCTCTGTTTGGCACTGGTGAGGCCACATCTGGAGTACTATGTCCAGTTTTGGGCCCCCCACTACAGAAAGGATGTAGACAATTTGGAGAGAGTCCAGCAGAGAGCAATGAAAATGGTTAGGAGGTTGGGGCCCATGACTTCTGAAGAGAGGCTGAGGGAACTGAGTTTATTTAGTCTGGAGAAGATAAAACTGAGGGGGGATTTAATAGCGGCCTTCAACTATCTGAAGGGTGGTTCCAAAGGGGATGGAGCTAGATTGTTCAGTTGTGGCAGATAACAGAACAAAGGACAATATTCTCAAGTTGAAGAAAGAGAAATGTAGGTTAGATATTAGGAAAAAATCTCTCACGAAGAGGGTAGTGAAGCACTGGAACAGATTACCCAGAAAGACTGTGTAATCTCCATCCTTGGAGGTTTTTAAGACCCAGATAGACAATACCTTGGCTAGGATGATCTACTTGGGGATGGTCCTGCTTTGAGCAGGGGTCGGATTAGATGACCTCCTGAGGTCCCTTCCAACCCTTGTTTTCTATGATTCTATGAAATGTAGCCATACCCACACGAGTACACTACTCAGCCACAGCAGTACACCCTAATCACTGTCTCTCAAGCCTGCCTGCTGTCACCTACAGCCCCACTCTACAAACCCCTATGCTGTTCCCTGTCCTAGTGCTTCACCTTCCCAACACTGTCCCCTGGCACACTGCCTTCTATCCACATACATTTGGAGTCTCATCTCTTCCTTATCTTTCCCTCCCCTCTTGGCTGGCCATTGACCAGTTTAAAGTGTGCTGGGACACTGCTGCACTATGCAGGGGGCAAGTTGGGAGCCAGTGGTGCTCTTGAGCACCTAGCAGTGGGAAAATGTCTTCTAGTCTTCACACAGCTAAGGGACTATGAGGAAGTAATAGAAGAAGCACAAGTAGACTTCTTGTGCCTCCCTGCCTAATGACTATGGAAAATCCTGCCATTTCTTGCACCATCATTAGGGTCCAACAGGCTTGAGCTCAAACACTCAGACTAATAGCTGCCTGTGGAATCAGTGTATATTGTGGACAAAGGCTGGGGCCTTATTCCCAGTGTCCCTTTGCATTATACCATCAGACTGTATTTATAGTCTAGCCCTTTGGCTCCAATATATACAGCTTTATTTTGTGCAGTAAACTTCTGTCTTGACTTTCCTATTTTGTGACACCGCACACAACTTAAAAGGTTGTGGCAGGAAAAAACTGTGCCAGCCTACTGCAAATCAATGTGACCTTGGGGGGCATTGACCAATGAAACAGTGCCTTAAAAAAATCAATGTTGCAGTGTGATACAATCTTTACATTGACTAACCAGGCAGAGTTTGGGGTATTTCCTCATTCTTTGAAGAGAAGCTTCTCTTTGTTTAATGGAATCCATTGCTTGAGAACATATCTGTGCCTCTCAGACTGATACTGGGTAAAAGAAAGATAAAAACATGAAGCCAGTTAAAAATTAACATTGGTGTGTGAAGACGTGAAGCATCAGTAACCATTTTATTCCTGTACATCAAGGTAAGTACATCAAGATATTTTCTTACTTCCCTCAACTTTACAGGATGAAACATATTGACAGTCTTAGTTAAGAACCAAAAAGCTACTGCAGCAGCTTGCCCAAAGTTGTTAGGAGTGGGTTTGGCTGTTGTAGGATTAGCAAAAATGCTTGTGTCTGGTAAGTCATCACTAATTTTTGTATCTCAGTCAGAATCAGCTGTGATTTAAGGAGGTGCAAACCGCATTGACTTTCATGGGAGAAGCACTTACTAAATTTGCTTGTTGATACTTAGGTAGATTTCTTTGGAGATATCAGTGATAGTGGACCAAGTTGAAATCACTGTAGCTCAACGTCAATGGAATTATGTTGCTTTACACCAGCTGAGGAGCTGTTGGTGCGGCTACAAATACAATTAATGTGCATAATTTTTTTGCATAGAAAATTCAGGTGCATTAAACTGTGACCCAGCACACATCTAAATGTGTGGCCATTGAGAACAAATTTGATCCTAACAGGAGTAGTTTAGTCCAGGACTGTTCCTGCCCTGCTCTATGTGCCCCTGAAGCAGTCAGGGGGAGTTCCAGGCTTGCCAGGTGCCAGCACCGCTCTGGCAGGGGGATCAGGTGCTGGTCCTGATCTTTGTAGGGCTCCGAGCCACATGGAGACTGGGACAGCTCTCTCCACCCCATGGGGCCCCCTTCTGCCTAGGTTGACTGGGAGCAATTTGCTCCCAGTCAGTGTCTACATGTGTGCTTCAGCACATTAATTTAATGCACCAATTTGTAGTACCTGTATCTACTGGTATTAGAAAAATGGCACATTAGACTTCCCAGTAATTGCTGCACATGTGTAGACAGTGATGCTTTACTGCATATCAGTCTACTGTGCAGCAGAGTATCTCATGTAAACGCGCCCTGTGTGGAGGATTATACACGTGAATGCTGCACAAGGTTTTTAGAATCCGTCTGATCTGACTTAAAACAAGGGGGTAGATTATGTTTCCTTGTTTGCTTCTGATTGAATAAACAAAACAGTATAGAAAATAGGCAAGGGTTAGCAGACCCAGGAAGGGCATGGGTTAAAATGCAATGCGAGGGCAGGTGAGAAAATGTTAAAATGTTAAAGTACATACACAAAATTGAAAAGGAAATAAGTGAGACTGGAAAATATCTAGTGCTACATCCATTCTGTCCCCTCCACACACATCTTCTGTCAACTGAAAAAAAATTATTCCCTTCAACCTGGGGCTTTTTAAATATCTGCAAAGTGTCCTGCCCAATTTTTTGAGCATTATATAAACAGTTTGCAATGAGAGTGAGACAGGTAGTCCTTTGGTTAAACAACTATTCTAAAGCAGCTAAGAGCTAACTTGCTCTTAAAACTTAATTACTTTTCCTTATGCTTAAAAACATTCACAAAAGTATGGTTTATAATAAGTGTTGTAATTAAAACTCTGTAGCAGCACAGAACAATGCTAATTACTCTTTGTAGAAATGCAGACTCAGAAAAAGACTTCAGTAGTCTCTACTGCCTTTTGGTAATCCAGTGGCTCTTGGCATCCTTTCACTGTCTCCCATGGCATATATTTCCAAGCACCAGTTGCCTTGGTTTAGGGCTGTCAGAGGATACATGGCTCACACTGTTCTGTTTAACAGTTCCCAATGGTGCTGTCCTGCATGGATTTATTTTAAGCCCTTTTTGAACATGGCTATTCTATTTGCCTTTACAACTTTGTGTAGCAACAAGCTCCACAATTATGCCCCAAGTATAACAACCAAGTCAAAACAAACAAAAAACCTCCATGTCTTGTTTGTTTTAAACATGTCTCCTACTAGCTTCAGTGGATACCCCCTAGTTCTTGTTTTCCGGGACATGGTGAATAATAGTTTCCTATTCACTTTGTCCACACCCTTCATGACTTCATAGATCTCTATCACACCCAGTTCAACCTTCTCCTTTACGAAAGGAAGTCCTAGCCCTTTCAGTCTCTTCTATGGCAACTGCTCCATACCTCTGATCATCTTGGTTGCCTTCCTCTGCACTGTTCCCAATTCCATTATATCCTTTTTAAGACATGGAGAGTAGAACTGAATGCAGCATACAAGACATGGGCGCACCATGGATTTATACAGTAGCACAACTGTGGAGGGGAAGAGCTGTTTGGGAAATTTACTGTTGTTGTTGTTGTCATGTATTGTAAGCTGCTTTGAGCCTTTCTGGATAGAGTGGGATATAAATTGAAAATAAAGCAGACTACATTATTATTTAGATGCCCTTCTTAATTATACTCAACATTTTAATTGGCATTTTTGGTCACCACTGTGCACTGAGCTTTGCTTAGGGGTTTTTAACTTTGCTTAGATATCTTCATGTCTTTTTCTAGACTGCCTCTTATGCATGTGATGCCTTCCTTTAACTCATCTCTAAATCTATTTAGCTACTTCCTTCTTATGCCTTCTCATGAACCACCTCTGCGACTGTACCTAGGAGGAGTCAGCCAGTGCACATTGGCTAAGTTGAAAGGTATTTCAAATACACAGCTGAGGATCAGTTGGGAAATAATAATTTAAAAAAAAAATAGCATTACAAAAATGTGCGTAACACTTCTGCCAGGGACTGGATGGCAGTAAGAAGGGCTAGGTTCAGATCTGGGGTTCCACACCAACTTTTCAAATTTAGCTTGAGCTCCCATCGTGGCATGCTTGGAGCCTGGGTAGCTCATCCAGGGGCATTGTGGAGGGTGCAGAGAGAGGGCTCCTGCCACTGTGCACACCTTGGGAGAGGCACAGCGGGCACATGGTCACTGGATATGTGTGTGGGGAGGAGGTGGGCTGCCACTGCGGGCTGGGTTCTGCGTCCCATTGCCACTGCCTCGGGAATGGTGTGATGCCACATGCCTGCTGCGGCTGGTCCCCAGGGCCGGCTCCTAGACAGGCTGCCCAGGCTCTGACCATCCCATGACCTGCCCCAGAGCCTCACTCACCCCAGCCCCTCCTCTGCCCCGCTCCCTCCCTCCCTGTGGGGGTCTCGATCTGCGCCCCCCTCATGCCCCTTCCCCGACTTACCTGCTGTAGTAGGCAGCCGTCTGGCTGCAGTCTTGGCTGCATGCAGGCTCTGTGCCTGTCTGTGTGCACCCCTCCCCACCTGCTGCAGCTGCCCACAGCCCACCCCCAGACTGTCCTGCAGCCCTCTGTGCTACCCCATGCTCGAGGGGGCTAAGCCCCATTAGTCCCGGGCTTCCGCCACCTATGGCTGTGTGCCTGCCTGCCACACATGCACAGTTAAAGTATCTTTTTTCACAGTATATTCGTGGAACTACTAGGATCCATTTGCCAAGATCAATGGTAGTTCTGTGCAGATTCTGTGAAAAATGATACTTTACCCTTGCACATGCCGAGAATTTTCAACAAGAAATCCGCAATTTTCTCAGGGCCCTACTCACATGCCTACAAATTTCACAATTTAGGAGGGAGGGCAGATGAATACAAAATCTGTCCACTTGCCCTTTATAACTGACCACTTTAACCTCAAACTGTATTAGCCAAGACCACAATCAGTAAAAACCATGAGTTGCCCCTCAAACCTGCATATTAATGAAGGCATGCAGATAAAGAATACACAGTTACAGAACATAACTGTCATCACACAGAATATTCTATTTGCTCTCTCCTCCTTATGTTTTGCTTTCTGCATCTCCTGTCACAACATCTGAAAAAGTGAGCTTCATCTCATAAAAAGCTTGTGATATAGCACCCCCCCACACCCACACACACTATATCTTGGTTAGTCTGCAAGATATAAGTCTACTTTGCCTTACATGTAGACCATAGGTAAGGGTTACTTTTGCATACATTATGTATAGAGACCTACCCAAGTCCAGGAGGCAGGAGGCTGATTTTGTGGGCAGATCGCATGGCCTGCCGGCATTTTTGTACCCTGCCCATGCCTCCAGTTGGCCGACGGGCCCTGGTCCCCTGCCCCCCTGTTGCTGATTGGTGGAAAAGGTTGTCTGTCAGTCCTGCCCCTCACTGCTGATTGGGTGAGCGCTGTCCATCATGTGGCCCCACCCCTTGCTGCTGACTGGTGGAGGGGGTGGCACTGCATGACAGGCAGCCTTTTCAGCAAATCAGCAGTGACAGGAGTAGCAGCCATCTTGCGTGCTCCCCTTCATGTTGCCACCCCCACTCTCTCCCTGGCAGCCTGTGTAACTAGGCCACAGCAGCTGCAAGGACTGCTGTTTCCCACTGAGGCGTCAGTCCCTCCTGCCCTGCCCTGGATTTTGCAGACATCACCTGATTTCATGATTTCTGTAAAATTGTGAATTGAGTAGGTCCCTAATTATATATAACACACAAGCCATTTATAGTGGTCATTTCCCCGACCTCCATGCCTCACAGGTTGCTCATCTTACATCAACCTAAATTATGCTCTTCCTCTTACTCTTAGACCTTGTCTTCCTCAGAAACTCTACTCAGTTCAAGCAAATCAGTAACCATCTGCCAACACAATCACACTGGGGCTACATACAGATATTCAGGGAGCTTAGACTGACTTTTTAAAATGGCCATCTGATCAAACTTTGTTCACCTTACATTAGTTAGGTGGATGTGTGTGTGAACTATACAGAAGTTCAGGACAGTTAGATCAGTCTTTAAAAAAGGCTGACCTGATCTAACAACCCCCTTCCCCCATCTTGACTTACCTTAGCTCAGGTGGCTATTTTAACACAATCTAACCTCCCCAGATGTCTGTACACAGCATAATGCGACCTTCCAGTGCTGACAAAGAAAGGTGAGATTTGTATGATGAAGCAGGTCCTGGATTCAAGCAACAATAAGAGGCACTAGCACAAGCTGAGGTTTCTTTTTCTCTACTTGCAGTTTGGACCACTGCAGCTGCATCAGTAAGCAGGCTTTGCTTGCCAGTACCAGAATTAACACCCAGTTTAGACAAAGTCATCAAGGGGAGTCTTCCATGATTAGCAACATGGAAAAGTTTGTCTGTTGTCACTGCGGGAGAC